CCAGCCCCTACACCTGCGCCCACCCCTTGTCCTACGCCTGCAAGAACGACCCCATTCCCTTCCCCGACTCCCTTCCCTACTCCTGCCGTGACTACCCCCATCGTGACGAATCATCCCACGAGGACCCCATGCACCACAAGACGTCCCGTCACGACTTTCATGCAATCCACTACCAAGACACCTCCTCATGGCCCCCACTAGAGGCCTTTGGGCTAACCACGTCAGAGTTTATTTCTTCGTCGGATCATCCGACTAAAATGCTTTTTTGTCTCCACCCATTCCTCTCTCGTTTTTCAATCAACTGGGTGGATGGAATCGCCGCGTTAAGTTACCATCACCTGTAAACTCCCGTGCTTTGCGTCAGGAGTAGAACCGTGTGCTGGCACTTCGGTTCGGTGTCGAGCTAACATTCGAGTGTCATATTTCGTTCCTAACAATCACCTCATCGCGTTCTGACCGCTACAGACGATGGCCATCTCCAAGTTTGATCCAATGCATCCACGGCGCCTTGAATCCAGCCGACGGACGTGGCTGGGGCACCATCGAGGACGACACTGGAGGCATGGGTGCATCAGCGTAACGATGAAAACGAGTTGGAGGGGATGGCTATCGATGCTGCAGGTGCTGGACCCACCCACGAGTCATGGATATACGGCGTCATGATCGGTCCGCCAAGGTAGGTTGCGGTGTTTGGAGCTGCTTATCTTGGCCTCCTCGAACACTTGCAACTTGTGCAGTCATAACAAGCACTGGTAACGTTGTTCTGGATTTGATCAGCTCGTAGCATCTATGACTGTTTGCACATCTCGTCAGGCTTTGCACGACTTGGGGACGGCGCCGAAGGAGCTCCAGGGGCGGATGTGGCCGACGTGCTTCCTCGAGGCGGCTGTTCAGCCAAATTCATCTTGGGTTCGAGCGAACGCAGCTGGTCCTCGCACTGCTTGATGAGCGTGTTCACGTTGTCGAGCTCTCGCTGGACAACACCCTTTTTGCTATCGTACGCTCGCTTGAGCATCGAAATGTCTTGCTTCGCCTGGGTTTTGAGCTCGGCCATCTCTTTTTTGTGTTTCGATCGGACGTCTTCGACGGCCTTGGTGCAGTTGGTTTCCATTTCAAACAGCGTCTGGAGATGCGCCGTCTTCTTCCCCATGAGGGCGCGTTCCAACTCGACCACTTTGCTCATGAGGTCGCGCTGTTCGTTGTACAAGTTCTTTTGCTCGGCGTGGAAGTTCGATTCCAGATTGAGAATCTCAGACGCTGCGCCTTGCACTAGCTGCTCCCGTCGCAGCCGCTCGGTTTGCGCCAGGGCCTCCACCTCGCTCGCCTTCGCCTTGATCCGCGCAATCTCAGTCTCCACCGATGCCACCCGCGCATCCTGCTTACTTTGCATGCTGCGTAGATCCAACAGCAGCCGCTCCAGCTCGGTTCTACGCGCCAGGATAATAAGCCCACGACCGTCACAACGAGTCGCCGGGGTACCTCTTGTCGTCCAATTCAGCGGACAACGTCGACTTCATCATGGCCAGCTGGTCCGTGCGCGCGGCTAGCTCCGCCTCGTACAACTTGCGATGGTCCCCCGCGTCCAGGCCAGTCGCCGACACGTCGCTAGCAACTGCGATTTCGTACGCATTTTCCAGCTCATCTTTCTCTGCCTATTTCCGACAATCGTCGATCAGGTTGGCCACTCGGCAACGATTGACCGACCTCAGCAGCACGCAGGTGCTTTTCAAACAGCTTGAGAACTTGCTTGCCCCAGTCGAGGACAGACTGCAGGATTTCGTCGCGAAGGTACTCGACTAGCGAGGGGTACATCGCAGGGCCAAGGCCGGCGTCGTTGTCTACTGCAGACGGCTTGGCGTGGCCTTTGTACTCGCCGAGCGAGCTTTGGAGACTATTCTTGATGCCGAGGAGAATCGAGTGTAGCCCGTCGGAGAACTCTTCGCGGGACCGGTGCTGGAGCTCCGCTGTCGCATCGGAGAACGCGACTGGTTGCAGCGATTGCAAAATGGCATCGCACGTATCTTTCGACAGTGCTTCCATTGACGACACTTGCGCGACATACGTGGCTTCAATCTGTTGGTGCATGGCAGCAACCTTGTCCGCGAGGAGAACGGCATTGTTGGATGGAACTTGCTGCGTTACTGCAAACACCTCGAGTGAGGCGGCTGACAAACCTTTGAGATGCGCCAGCAGTAGTGCTCGAGACGACAAAGGCTCAGACGACGCAGATGTTAAGGCTTCAAACGCCGATAAGTACGCCGCAGATGCTGTCGCCACCCCTTGCTGCTCTTACTGCGTGAGAAACTGATTTTATCACAGGGAAGGGTCAAACCTGAATTGCGAATTCAATGAGCTTCGTGGCGGCGTTGGCAATGACAGGCACTTGGTGAGAATTAAGCGAGTCCACGTATGTGCCGAGGAGGATGGGGAATTGCGACGCTGGCAGTGCCGACCCATTCACTTGCTTGACTGGCAGCGAGTCTTGACCGGCATTCATAGCAAGGAACCGACCATGCAGCTTCTCCACCGCCGACACATATGCTGGACGAAGGACGTCCACGGGTGTGTCCCATGTGAGATCGATGCCGGCGTTGAGATCCAGCGCCCGGGACAGCATGACGACGTCACGGTGGGGGAAAAATGAGCAGAAGTACGTCTTGAACGCATTTGCCTGCATGGAAGCCTCGGAGAAGCCAGCATCGAGCGCAAGGAGGTTATTGAAGTATTCGTTGGGTGAGAGGCTTGCGCCGGTCGCGGCATCCTTGAGCCACTTGACCTTCGAGTTGCGCGAAATCCACACGAAGCGCGGCAAGTGACTTCCCAGATCCTTCGCGACGCCCGCTTCGTCTTGGTTCCCACGAATCTTGACTTGGGAAGGAAGCGACGAGATCCATTGAAGCTTCTCGAAGTTGAGCTCGCTGTCCTGGCTGTACAACAGGACCGACGACAACAGGACGAGGAGCAACCGTCCAGCGTGTTCGTTGTTGCTATGCAATATCACCACGTTCGACGAGGGTTCCAAATGCAACCAAAGCAGTGGTCGCTTTCCAGACCCATCAGGGACTGGCGTCGGGTGTGTTGGCAATGCTGCCGACATGGTATGCAACATGGCTTGATGGTCTCTGGTAGACTCGAAGGTAGCATCGGCAGCTGCGTCCCCGTTGAGAACGCCCACCACACGGAGTTTCGTCGACGATTCCAGCAAGCTGAACTCCTTCACGGCGTCCTCATCCACAGAGAGCTGCTCGTTGTTGTCGTTCGTCCACACCAACACGCGCATGAAGAAGGAAGAAGTCACACGTTTTCAAAATATGCTTGCTTGCTGATTACATGGTTCTCATTGGATAAAAATATAGTATTTTACCCAATCATAATATATTTTGAGCTCGGCTGTCGCTGCAACTCAACGGGCATGCACAACGGGTAAAGCATGTCGCGACTGACCGCCACTGCACAATTGCTTGGCATGGTGAGACGCCCTTCCTCATCCCGTTCGCATCGGTGAAGTTAATGGATGTTGCCGCCCTACTCGCGCCCCTATGTGCCCCTTATTGACAATAGTTCGTGGGGGTGAGTCGTCAGAGTGTTGGCCATTTTCAAACGAAACACCAAGCTTTGCCACTCGCGACCAGGTATGACTGACTTGGAGCCTTGTGTGCTGGGGCGACGTGCCACCGAGCACCCTCGTCACGGCGATTTGCAGCCTCGTTTGTCCAGCGATTATCTGTACCCCTTGCCTGGAAGGCAAGGGGTACAGGACAAACGAATCACAAAGCCATTCCGTCGGCAGACGCCCTACTACCATGTCCAGCCTGTCTCCGCCTTATGAATCTGCTACAATGGACTGCCCGGTTCCCATCGTTACAACCAAAGACTTCGTGTGCTCCAATTGTCATTACACGGCCAATGTCCTCCTCAGCTGCGACGAAATGCTATCGCTTTCCTGGTTCATAAAATGCTGCCTTTGCCAGCCTCATCCATCTGTGCCATCGATTTTGCTGGCACAATGTGACTACTATCCACGTTTGGACCACCTTGCAGTCGTCGTTTCTTGTTGACTCCACCGAATCATTCTCCAACAACTCCTCGTCAATGTACGCGACATCGAGCGCCGCTGTGGCTTGCTTGATGTTCTGTTGGGGAATACTCATCTGGTTTGTTCAAGGTTGCCTCAAGCTCATGTGCTTTCCGTGCTAGACGGCTGCGCACTCCTCAACGTGCCCGTGGCGTCCGCTGCTTCAGTCCGTGATTTGTCCTACTTGCGGGATGGCGTTTCCGACAATGCGCGGTGTTTTTGCGGCGCAAAGTTCTCGTGAACTGATGCATTTGCTGCAGTAGATCGATAGAACAGTCCATAGATCATATTGAAATCCCCTAGCGTGCCTCGAGCCCAATGGCTACAACTTTCCTGATATTATGGCGCATATTTATGTTTGGAGCTTTCGCTACGGAGACTTCGCTCTGAAGGAGTACGGAAAACTGCATTTGCTAAATGTATAAAAGCTCATTTGCGTTCATCCGATAAGTTTCCCTTGATACGAAGCTTATTGTCATGTCGAGCAAAATGGATATCTTTGATACAATTCAAGAGAACTCCTGTCAATTCTAACACAACACGGCAGCGGCTACGGCTGTGACAGCCATGAACGCGATATGTGGAGCTGATGCACCCGACGGAGAGGTTGTAGCTGGCTGGGTTGTGGTCGGGTTGGCAGTGGTGGTCGCTGGGATCGACGTTTCAGTCACTTGAGGGCTCGTACTGGCAGGAGTGGATGTGCCAGGCACCGATGTAGTGACGGAGGACGTTGTGACAACTGGCGACTTTGTCGTGGTTGGGGTCGTTGTTGTTGTTGCTGGCGGAGTTGTGGTGGCGACGGGGCACGTGTCATTGGAATAACCGTGGCCTTGGGCATCGTGGCAGCACGATTGAGCCACTTGGCGGTTGCCGTCATAAGTCTTCCACAAGAAATACACCGAACCATCGCAGCATCCAGCACGAGCTGGGTTGTAGCACTGCGTGAATTCCCCCGCGTCGGTCAAGCAAGGGGCCAAATTACCACAGCCCACTGTTGTGGCTGGGGTCGGCGTGGGTGTCGCCGCTTCTTGTGCGGTGACGGTGGCGACGGCGAGGACGAGGGCCGGAAACAATTGCATGGCGTACGCCAAACGAAATTCGAGAATGAGTTGTTCCAAGTGGAATGTTGGAGTGACCTTTCGAGAGTGGTTTGTTCCTTGTGCAAGTGCACCACAAAAACACGTCGCATTTCGAACGTACTATATAAATCTTCATGCGTGCGGCTAATCTTGACTTGAAGTTTGTATCCGTTGGCTGAATAATTGAGTCACGAGGAACAGTGAATAAATAAATCGAATGTGAAGTAGCAGCATCGAGCACATTTGCATGTAGAAAAGCTGTGTCTTAGAATTTTGAGCGCCGTCAGCTGGCTATACTTGATAAGCAGCCCCAACCTAGATTCGAAAGCACCACCACTTGAAAGCTGAGCGATACCGGTAGCTGGAGGCTTGGGAGAAAAACTTCCTCGATGCCACACACATGTATGGCCTCGCGTGCAAGCCCGCCATGATGGCACGTGTGTTGAAGTTTTATTTCTCGTACATGGGCAAATGGACACGTCCCACCTGTCGGGTGAGTCGACTGTGCAAATCCACCGAAAAAAGCCTTCGAATGTTTAAAGTGTTCCGCTAAAGTGAACCAGAATGCGCCGTCGATGCGTGAACGATAACCATGGTCACCTTCTCGATGGGCGTCGAAGAGTGAGTATAACTCGGAGCTATTGCCCCTTTCGTACCTAGCCATGGCCAAAGCG